TGGGTAGGGTTATGCATGCACTGTTGGACAAGATGCAGTGACTTCTACCCGGGATCTGAATAAATTCAGTCCTGAACCTATGGGGATTGTCCAGAGTATTTGAGTGACTAGGAGTAATTGATCAATTGATAGTAGGCAGTTGAGGTAGCAGACTTATCATTGAATATTGTTTTCTTACTCACTTGAGCCTTCTGCTTCCTAACGCTCATAGTATTCACTCACTCACATATTCACTCATTACTCTCGGCTTTGTCCCTTGGGTAGGTGGGCTTAGTTGGGTTTACTAAGCCATAATGACTTCTCTCTCATTCTCTTTGTTGCTTTATTTTCTCTCTGTACTCCCCCTTAACTGGAGCACTCGATATGCTTTGTTATCGTTTGGCACCGGGGAGGAGAAAATTGAAAACTCCCCCTCAAATGTTGCATCCTTTGAGAGAATCCTTGCTTTGTTGTTGTGTGGCACCAGGAGGAGAAACCTGAAACTCCCCCTCAGATTGTGCAAGGATTGATTGCTCACAGCTTGATATACCTGCCATGTGTATGGAGCAATCTGTAAAGGTACCACACATGACGGTTTACCCTGAACTCATCATCTAGAAATTCAGCACAGTGATGATCACACATTGTTGATGAGTTAAGGGAGGCATCAGTAGTTGATTGTTGATTGTTGTGAAATGACCGTTGATGCGAGGTTGATTGAATTATCTACGAGTTCCGGACCTTACAATGTAGATTAGACCAACTTTGACATTTGGTTTGACTTTGGTTTGATTTTGGAAGAATTGACCAGATTTGCCTCAGTTTTGACCTTGACTTTGACTTTGGTGATTTTTCGGAAAACAGGTGATATCTCCCTAAAAAACGGCGAGTGAGGGAGCGTGAGATTGGGTTCTGGGGTATTATACGCGTAAATCGGATCACCGAGTCAAAAGTTATGGCCAAAACAGTGCAGGACATCGAAAAGTTTGAATTTTGAACTTTGAAAAACTTTTCGAAACTGAGGTTCTCGAGGTTGAGTTTCTCGATGTTGGACCTCGAAAACCTGTTCTTGATGTTGAATATCGAAAACCTTTTCTCGATATTGAATGTCGAAAACCTTTTCTCGATATTGAATGTCGAAAACCTTTTCTCGATGACTGAATATCGAAAACTTTTTCTCGATGTTGAATGTCGAAAACTTCTTCTCGATGATTGAATATCGAAAACTTTTTCTCGATGATTGAATATCGAAAACGTCTTCTCGATGTTGAATATCGAAAAATTTCTTTTCGATATTGAATGTCGAGAAACGTGTTTTCGAAGTTCAAACTGCGAGAAACGCGTTTTCGAACTTCAATCCGCGAGAAACCTGTTTTCGAGATCCAATCCGCGAGAAACCTGTTTTCGAGATCCAATCCGCCAGAACATGTTTTCGACCTTCTACCTGCGAGAAACGTGTTTTCGAGGATTAACTTCGAGAAAATCAAGACTTCGAAATCGTTAGAATTTCTAACCAGTTTAGAACATCAAATACTTTGATATTTCTAAAACCTCAGAATATCGAAAACTTTAGCTTTGAAAACTTTCAGAACTTCGAAAACTTCATTAAACTTTGAAAACTGAGAATATCGAAAGTCCTTTCAAACTTCGAGAAGCTGAGAATATAAAAATTCTTTTAAACTATCGAGAAGCTAGGAATATGGAAAACTCTTTTTAAGCTTCGAAAAGTTCTGAATAGGGAAAAATATCAAGTTTCGAAAAATTCTGAGATTCAAGAAAACCCAAAGTTCGAAATATTATAAACATCGAGAAACTCCAAAACTTCGAAATCTTCATAACATCGAAAACTTCCAGGAGTTCCAGCTTCGAAAATCTGCAAATGTGAAATCAAAAATTTCTTTAGAAATGATATTGCAGGTTGTTGTCAAACGGATTTCGATCCTAATCTTCCAGAAATCGCTGAAAAACATTGAAAACAGATCATCAAACCAAGATATCGAAAACTCAGTTTTTCAAATAGGCGTGGTCTTTTTCGATAAAGGCAGATCCGAAAAACGCAGATGAATTCGATCTATTTCACGCCTCGGCTCTGATACCACATGTTGATCCCCTATTCTAACAATCAAACAATCATAAGAATGAAAGAAGAAGCAGAAAGATTTCTCATTTAATATCAAAGTGTCGAGAACTTTGATACACCGTATGAAATGGCCGCTGCTCTCCCTCTAGAGAGAGAGAGCAGCCTGAAAATATTCTATTCTATTCTATTCTGCCTCTATGCTCTATACCTTAGATTTTCTCATAAGTTAGTCTCCTTTTATAGGAGAGGATGGCAAACTTATGGCTTACAAGAGAGGCTAATGGGCTAATATTCAATTGTGGCCCATATTACACATTTAACTAACAACTACACAAATACAAAGACATCTAACTAGATTGGACACCAGAAAAAGTCCTAACAAAATCAACTGACTGCCGATTTATGGAGTTTTTCCAGTTTAGCTCATTCCTAAACTTTGAATACCAGTTAACTCTTTTCGTACATTTTCTTCTTTTTTGATCTTTTTGTTCCTTTTGTTTATGGTACGTTTAACTTCTCTTTTTAGTACTCTTTGCTTTTCATGAGTACTTTATCCACTAAATATGGAGCACATTACAATTACATAAAGCGGAAAATAAGTAGTAGACTAGTCTAATACAGGGATAATAGTCTAATATAAAAAGGGGTGACATCATCAAAACTATTGCATTGTATATCAAAATCTAGGGGACCTAACAAAGTTTTAGCTGAATTTTGGTATTAGTAAACTAGATTTGATGAATAAAATGCTCAAAACTTTTCATCAAAAAATTCCATCGGGAACCACCCCAAATCGCGATGGCCGGATAGAGCCTCCTATATAAGGACTTATTTGACCTTTTTATGAAAGTTCAAGGACCTATTTGACAGTTTTCCCAAGCAAAATTGGAAAAGTTATAACATTTTATAAAAAAAGAATTATTTGCCACATGTCTAATTTGAATTTGAATATTTTGATAAAAATAAAATAAAATGAAAAATTTATCACAGTATTTGACATGTGGCAGCAAACTATTCGATTCAGAACCAACTCCCTTAGCTCATTATCATACTATTGCAAATACATGCGTTGATGCGTCGTATAGCTCAAATGGATTATTATAACAAAACTAAACTAGGGACAAGTTTGTCAAAAAGGGGTGCACATAGTAATTGAGGAGGTGTGTGAAGCAATGCCCAATAATCCAACATTCAATCCAAAAGATACATAAATCAGACATTTATAAGACCAGACCAGTTCAGATCAGATCAGACCAGCCAAATTCAATGCAAAAGAAAACATTTTAAATGAAATTTAACTTTTGATTGGAGGCCTTTCATAGTTATTTGGGTTTGCAGCCACCACCTCACAACCGCCCTTGTGAGTTGTATAGATTTTCGCATTTTAAAAAGGGAAATCATCATTAATCTTTACTAAAGTGTGTGGGTGTACTCTTTAAAAATGCTTCTCTACTCCTTCAACGAGAAAAATAGATATCGAGGTGTTTGAGTGGAAGTGCAGAAGTTGCGTCTAAGTGGTTAAATTGTTTCTAGAAGCAATTTTTGACAAATTGGAGATGACCAACTTTGAAAAAAGTGATTGTGATTGTATTTCTACATTTAATAAAGAAGTAGAATCAGTCTCAAACACCCCTTAAATGTACTCATACTTTCTACGTACACCATACACTCACTGTTCTAAAACGTGGGGTCTAGGCACGCTTAGGTGTGAGGCGGCGGGAGAAGGGCTATCTCACATAGTAGAAAGGCGTAGAAAAAGTTATCATCTAAAGAAATGACCATCAAAGGTGTGAAAAGGTGTGTAAGTCTAGGCGCAAAAAAGAGGAACCTAGGTATGAAAGGCGGAAGTTAGATAAACTATTTTTTGCGAAGAAAAAGTTCATTAAACTTTAGAATCACTCTTATAAACATATTATATGTGAAATCTGATAAGGGGTAATAAATAGAAGTTTTAGTTCCTGTTCTAATGATTACATCAGATATGAAAGCACAGAAGGATTCAACACTGAAAGAAATTTCATTGATAATGATCGATAAATGAAAAACATAGAGAAAATTTCTCTTTAGCGTGAAAAAGGAAAATATCACTTAGTGCAACATTCCCTAAGCGCATATTTATATGCGTAGGGTACAACGTACAATTAAGGCTAATGATGGGACTTAGACCCAAAACAAATGTGACCCTTGTATATTTACAGTCTAATCTAATAAATATAATTTATTCCATAAAAGGTAAGATTCAAGATATTTAAAACAACTTGATCACAATATATAATCTTCAATAATCTATCCTTTTGTGATCAAGTAATGTCTTGCTCTTCTTTATCTTTGTTTCTTGAAGTAGTTTTTCCTCAAAGTCAGAGCATATTCATATTGACAAAGTGATCGTCGCTTGTCCAGCTGTTTGTTGATGGCTTTGAGTGCTTGAGTCGCCTTTTCATGATCATTCATCTCTTGTTTGAAAGCATCCACAAGTCTGGATCTGATCTGACTGTCTTTAGTATCCAGCTTTTCTCGAATGATCTTCAATGTCCCATCACAAAATTTGGCTATCTCACTCAGCAACATTTGACGTTTTTTCTCTTCGTGATCCAGATAAACTATCCCGATCTCGGGCTTTTAAAAAATGTGAAGGGGCAGGAGCTTCTCTATCTCTGGTTTGTATAGCATAAGCTTTGTGAGATTTGCCTTGGGAACATTGTTCACTAAGGCCATTTGGAGATCGAACACAACATGGACTCTCACTTGACGGAGCATGAACATTCTGATCGCTTCATATCATTCTCTGAGGATTTTGTTGTTTCTGATGCGAAATTTTCGATAGCGCATGGACATATGGTAGACATCATCTCTCTTGAGCATGAAGAAATCATTTTCTAGACAGGTAAACTCGGTTCCGTCAGAGCGTTGAAGCTTGTAGATTGAAAATTTGATGGTTCTCAGATTATGCTCTAGGACCTCTTGTTGTTTTCCCATTGATCGATTGGAGAGCGTATGAGGCTGCCCACTAATTTGTCTTCCTTTGAGGTGAGTAAGACTCCTGACTTTGTGTTCATCAAGTTTTCTGATTCTTTCAGGTCTTCTCCATATATGTTTCCTTATTTCTTCCTGAAAGGGAGATGTGATCGTGATATTCTCCCAAGGTTTCCCAGTTTTGGATGCAAGAGTTCATGTTCTTCTAATAACCTTAGAGCATCTCCAATGGTAAAATGTGCACGGTGCACACGTGGCATGAGAAATAGCCACATAAATATTAGTAAATAAATTCTTTCTCTCCTTATTTGAATGATTTTATACAGTTTTGGTAAGTTTTTCTCTATAATGTCAATGAGACCGTCTAGATGTTGACATTGTTGTTGACATTGCAGGGAAAAACTTACCAAAATTGTATAAAATTATTCAAATAAGGAGAGAGGTAATTTATTTGCTAATATTTATGTGGCTATCATTCATGCCACATGTGCACCGTGCACATTATAGCATTGGAGATGCTCTTAGGTAGCTCAGCTAGGGGTGGGCACGGTCCGGGATGGTCCGGGATTCGGCTTATCCCGATCCCGTCCCGGTTTTATAACACCGGTCCGGTACGGGATACGTCTTTATCCCAATGTTGTCCCATTTAAAACGGGACCGTGACAACTCGAGAAAAACCGGGACGGTTCGGGATGTCCCATAAAATATACATTTGTGAAATGTGATATAAAAATAAGCATAACATCAAAATAAAGACATACTCCCTCCATCCCATTTTACCTGTCCTACTTTCCTTTTTGGGCTGTCCCAAAATAAGTGTCTACTTTCCTCTTTTAGAAAGAAATATGTGGTCTACACCATTTCACTTTATTATACTCAAACCTCAACCACAACTTTTACTTTTTCAACCACTTCATTAATAACCGTGCCAAGTCAAACTAAGACACATAAAATGGGACGGAGGTAGTAACTATTTTTGCAAATTTAGCTTCCTTAAAAAGTTAAGTAAATCCTTTAATTGACTATTTTTAATTTTTGTCTAGTAAATTTTTTTGGTCCCCCTAATCTTGTGTTTCCTCTAGTAGAATAGTAGTGCAAAATATTTTTACATATACTTTGTAGTACACTTGTAATTTTTCAATACCACATTAAATTAAATATCATATCTATAAAGACACTATACATATTTTCTAGTAGTTATTTTGGAAAATATTAAATCTATAACAACACTATAATTTGGAGTAGTAATTATTCCATCATAAATAGTATTCCAAACGTAATAAAATATTATAGATTAGTATTGGAATGAGAACTAAACAAATTTTAATCAAAAGAAACAAAAGAAATGAGACTAAGAGAGACACGAAATAAGATAAAATTACACTAGGGAGACTAAGGACTAGAAAGTTTTAATTGTGTTTGACTATTACATAGCATTAGAAATTTAAAATAACATATTAATTTCAAACGGGACACCAGGACGGGACATGATATTTTATAGCTATCCCGGTCCCGTCCCGGTTAATATTGGTGCGGGACCGGTTCGGGATGAAAAAATTGCGTCCTAAATGGATCGGGATAGTTTCGGAATGGTATCAGGATTTTTCGGTTTGGGACACCGGGACTGGGATTTTTGCCCACCCCTAAGCTCAGCCGGAGCTTGATTGTAGTACTCCCCTTCTTTGATTTCGTCAACTTGAAGTCCGATTATATGAGCATCAGCTTTACCTAGCAATTCTCTGAAGTAGAATACTCTTTGCATGTCGGTTTGTTCAGCTTTTTATCTGAGATCATCCCAGTCATTCCACTTGGGATCTAGAATGTAAGCGTCGAATTGATCATGGACAGTAGGAGCTGGAGTATGTGAGATGGGCTGCTGTGATGACCTGTCAAAAGTAGATCCAAGATTACAAGAATTGCCCGTTATCATCACGTCAGAAACTTGTTCTAACGTATAGCCCGATAGAATTGGTGTACTTGAAGTACCAACCTCAGGACTTCCGCTCATTCCTGAGTCTACATCTATGAAAGATGAGCCCAAGAGCGTTCTATCTGGCGTGACCGAACCAGAGGTTAGAAGGATGGCTTTGGTTTTAGGCTGTTGGGAGGATTGGGGTTGTTGGTTGGATGAAGAGGGTTGGTTTGATTGAGGTGTTGAATGGCTAGATGAGGCACCATGCTCGAGTGCCTGTTGCCTTTTGTTCTCCCCCTCATAAGGAGCTGGGTCATCGGTGCCCTCATGCGAACGTTTATGGCCACAGAGACTGTCACTACATGTAAACTCGGTCTCGAGAAGATGGAGAAGTTTGTGTTCGCTGGGTGCAAGGTTAGGTACATGATTTCGGTTTGGGAAGATAGGGGTTCGATGTTAGGGTCAATGCATCGATCAGGAGAGGATACTAGTTCGGTATCTTGGGTTCCCCAAGAAATGGTAGGTGTTTGTGGGTTTTGGGTAAAATAATCAAATGGGTAATGATATGGTAAGGATTGGTTGTGGTTGGGATGGGATTGGACCGTTTTGAATCGTTTGGGTTAGTCTTGAGCTCTATGCATTTGCGGCTATTGCAGAATCCACCCTTGTCATTATGATGGACTCAAGATAATGATCCAGTAGCGGGGGTGGTAATCATTCTCACAGCATTAGTAAAGAGTACTGTTGTGTGGCATGCGTTTAATGGTAGAACCATGTTTTTTTTGCGTAGCAGGTCTTCCGACCATCATAGTTGTTACTTCGATCGTTGCGTTCAAACATAGTGTACTTGAGTTGTAGTGAGTGGTGTGAGTAGTGTAGGTGTCCTAGAAAACAGGGGCATAACCACCCTAAGGACAGGGGGTGCCCGGGCCCTTGCGGTGATTTAGAATGTTTTCTTTTGGACTGTTTTCAGTTCCAGACCAGACCAGACCAGACCGGACCAGACCAGATCAGACTAGACTTCCGTAGTTATAAAATACATAGAGACCAGGCGTTTACCAAACCAGACTAGATCAGACCAGACCAGCAAATTTCAGTCCAAAAGAAAACATCCTTATACATGCAAAATGCACAAGATACTATTAATATAAACAGAATACTTTTTCACATTCATTCCCAAACACGACTAAGTTTTTTTAGTTTATTATTTCTATTTGTGTAACCCAAATCATGTTTACTTTTTCCTCAACCACAAAACTAACAATTTCATATGAAATCATACATAGAAACAATTACTTACATTTAATTAAAATAAATATTATTTACAATAATGTGACTCGTAATTGTAGTTGCTAGCTATAGTAGTAATTTAGTGACTATGAAGTAATACAATAGTAACTATTAGTCATATATTTGTAAATAAATTTCATTTGAATAATATTTTTTAAAAACTTCTAATAAATAAGCAAATATTTGATAAACAAAAAATTACATCCCCATATATGATTAATAATAAATAATAGGTAGTAATAAGTAAGCAAATATTTAATCGAAGTACAAACTCAACTAAATAATTTTCTAAAGGAAACGAATCTTACAACTAAAAGACTAAAAAATTCGGTTGCACAAATAAAGACCTTTTTATTCCAATATTACTAAAATGAATGAAAAAACAAAAATGTGACCTGTTTTAATTTTTCCCAAAAAAGTGACTAAAAGTAATTTATTCCTTATATTTAATCATACATTTATTATTTAATCTTCCTTTGAAGAAACATATTTCTAAATGCGTTTCAAAGTTTATTACTCCGTATATTCCAAACTATGGATTGCAAAATCAATTTTTTCGCTGTAAAAATATATTGAACCTGTTGCATTGGACTTCTCCAACTTACTTTTTCACGTACTATCCCATCTTATCACTTTCTCTTTACAAAAACTGCTCAAATAGGACTAAAATATGAACAAAGTTGGAAAATATGACTAAGATGCTTTCTTTCTCAAAGATGGCTTAATAACTTCTATTTTGATAAGTTTTTAATATTTTATTCTATAAATAGCATCGAATAAGTCTGCTTTTGGAAAGAAAACATACTTAGTTTTATTTTAGAACTATTCTATGTTTTACTCATATTTTGAGCAACTTATTATAAATCGAAAATGATGCAGTTAATTGAGCCATTTTTCTTACGAGAAAGAGAAGTGAAAAACATGTTTTTTCAAACAAAATTATAATTCTTCTCATCTACTCTAGTAAAAGATGAAGTTCTATGGCTTTATATTTTATTAGCTTTATCCTAAACAAGTTTTATTTTGGGAACAAAATAAAAACAGTTATATTAAACTTTATCAAAATTTTACTCCTATCTTCTAGATTTTATTGTTCCACATGCAAACTACTTGCTCCATAGCAAATATATCTATACTAGTTTATATACGCGCGTTGCGCGACTGGACAAATGCCCAATGTTATATACATATGTTAGCCCTTCCGGAGAGTTGGATTTAAAATTTGATATAAGAAACTTTGGTGAAAGATTCCAAATGAGATCAAAAGTTAGCCGCTTGCAAGAAGACGCTGAATTATTAGGGTGTTTGACACTCTCCCTTTTATTGATGACATTATGAATGCCATCTTATAAGAGAGAGAAAAATCCATCTTCAATTTGGCAGCAAGAAGAAGAATTAGAAGACTGACACTAGACCGCACACAAACTATATTTCGAAATTTTGAAGAAAAGCACGAATTTATAGGCATTTGATCTAAAAAAAAAATACAGAGTAATCGGGGGGGGGGGGGGTATTGTTCTTTAGAGATTGAGTGAACTTATTTTTATTGCTAAACGGGGTTCACCAGATTAATACAAAATAATAGAACATATCATAGTAGCTTTGGACCATCTATATTTATTTAATAGAAATTAGTGAAGAATTATATAATGGAATGATCGATACATGAGACTTTCATATTAGATAAAGGACAATCGTCCTCCAATTTCCATTTTATAATTCATATGAATACAGATGATACAATATTAACCTGATATGGTTTATTCTCCAGAAGATCACAAAATAGCACAACACATCGTTGTACATTTCACAGACAACAAAGTCAGGAAAAACATCATGTAACCACTCTCTTTTCTTTAAATTCTTTTTGTCAACTCTAACCTATGAAACTTGTTAAGTGAGAAAGCTGATAGTGCACACTGCCTTTCCCCGTTCTCTGGGCATCAATAAAAAAAACTCACCAGCTAAAAGGTTTACTGCACATGCTAATTTTACTGCTCGAGGATTGAAATGACATTGATAATTTTACTGCACATGCTAAACAATCATAATTTTCTCAAACAAATGCCAACACTTGAAGTAATTATCCAGAAGTTACATACCATTGTACACAGTGTTTATGAAGCTAAAAAACATGTTATGTTTCCAGTGAACCTTCCATTGCAGCCTAAAATAAAGCATTTAAGAAACATCACACAGGTAAAATATCATTTGAATGAATTCACTTTCAATTAAATTCCGTACCTTTCACAATGAACCTTCTCTTCTGTGATATGCCATGAACCTGTGCAGCCTAGAACAATGCATTTTAAAAATATAGCATCTCCTATATGTATTTTACCAGTCCAACCAAAACTTTGGGGCATAATATTATTGGAAAATATCAAGACAAACCACCTTTTCATTTCTCTATTATTAAAGTAGTATAATAAGTATAACACTTTCATTCTTTTTCAGGAACATGTAGTTATTAGAGGCATATACCTTAAAAAGCAACCGGGAAATGTCAATGTAACTTACAACACTACTATCACTCACATTTACTACTTTAACTTAATGTTCCCAGGAGCCATAAATTAGACCCCTCAAAATAATACGTAGTACGGAGTACGTAGCATATTTCATCATATTTCCAACACCTCAGTCCTTAGGCATGCCATTTCTAATATAGAAAAATAGCAATGAGTTGAAATTATGCAGAGCTGCATAATGCTCAAAAAAACAACTCGGGCAGAACACCAGAAATTAAAGTTGCAAATAAAACACAAATAGGCGAAGTCAATTGACAAATAGAGGGTATCGGGCCACTGCCAGTTGGGTAACCCCCTTGAATGAGGAATGACTTGATTATGCGGTGGAAGATCGCGTTGTCGTAGTAACCTTCTAGGCAGAGTTGTGTGAAGTTCCGAACAGCTTTGGCACCCTCTTTCAGCCAGACCTCGATATCCAACGGCCCTTGAAAGGAGAAACAACTAGATCAACCTAAAACATGCATAAAAGAATAAAATATAGCTTACTATATGAACGAAGTTATTTATTTCAAAAGTCAAGCTCGTCTAAGCGGGGAGTATCAGGTAAACTGCTTTGAGTGAAGCCCGCTCTCTTTAAATATAGTGACATGTGGTTCAAATAAAAGTGAAAAAAGAAATGACATGCAAATGTTGAGTGTTGACTATGGAAAATGACTTATATAGAGAAAGGGGCAGAAGAGTTGGGAATATCCATCTGGGAAGAAGAGTTATGACAACATATATTTAATACTCCGTACGAAGTACTACGTATTTACACTATTTTTTTTTAACACAAACACTGAGCAACATTAAAAATTGTTTAACAACAGGGGTGTGACAAAAACTTTACACATTATAGTTCATAAAATAATGTTTTGCATCAACACACCACTGAAGCACAACAGCTAGGCATACAACAAAGGCTATTAAAAGCTTCAGCAACTACTAAATCTAGAAGATACAGACAACAACAAATACATCATAGAGATAAAGATCATTGTTTAAGCACATTCACCCCTAATCCTCCTAGCAAGCTGGATGGCCTTGGGCATTATGGTCACACGCTTGGCATGAATGGCACACAAGTTAGTGTCCTCAAACAGACCTACTAGGTATGTCGCTGCGGCCTCCTGGAGGACAAGGACATCATGACTTTGGAAACGTAGGTCAGTCTACAAAACCCAAAAGAGAGAACAGAGCATTATTCCTTGTTTGGTGGGTGATTTTTCAAGTAAAAGATAATATGAATTTTATCAGACAAAAAAGTATAAGATGTGCAGTGAATCCGTTCAAAACTCAAAAAGTTGCATCAAATACATTCCCTAAAAAAACTTGACTCATTAATCTAATCATCTTAATTTCAAAAACATTCAGAAGAACTCAAAACTACCCTCTCCTCTTAAGATAAGGTTTCTTATTTCGAAATAAAAAGCTACAACCTGAAAACTTTCCAAAACAAGGGACTGCTAAAACTATAACAAAACAATGATTTGATTTTCTTCCATACAAACTTCAACAACCAGAAACATGACTCGTTGACAAGCGTGCCAACTTCTGAATCACAATTCTGAAGTGAAGGAGTGAGCCTTCTGCCTTGTAGAACACCCAAGTTGAAGGAAAGGCTTTCAGCATCTGGGTTGTGAGTTCTGAATCTGCACGCGTTCTGTAAGCCAACTCCTCCCAGTGTAGTTGTCGGTCCATGGTCGTCGTCGTTCCTTGTTGCCGGGGAAATCCCACTGCACAGTTTGTCGCCCCTCGCGCTCTGCTCTGCTTTGTTGCCTAACACACGGTCAATTGAAGCTCCATTGCATGTCAGATGACCTCCCTTCTATATGACGATTCCGGTCATTGGATTGGCGACGGAAAGTTGGAAACCACCGAGCGGTTCCCGTCGATTCCAGTCATTGAACCAACTTCGCTCCGCCAAATTTGCCGATCTCCTCTCCCACGCCGATGAAAGGGTTCATCCATCTGGCTGCACCTCTGGGCCACCCAAGCGCTCATGCTCTCCCACCGGAAAGGAATGTTTAGATGTATTGTAAGGTGTATTACATTAATTAAATTATTAATTTGAGCTCAAAGGCTACAATTTACCGATGCAATGCTTTGACGGCAAAGGTAACCCTGTGACCGGTTGACTTGCCATAACGTCTTAAAGTTTCAACTCAATATGCCACCCGTACAATTCGCTGAAGCATACAGAGACACGAACATTTTTTTGAGGACCATTATAACCCTAACATTATTCATGCTTAGATAATTGTAGAGAAGTTATTGAATCAGATGGACGTTAAGAAGATATTAACGTCCATAACTCATTATATTGTTTGAGACTCGAGAATTCACTATATTTACTCAAAAGGAAAAACTTTTGATTCTCGTATGCCTAGATGTATTCATTTATTTTATTTTTTGAATTCGTTCACCTCATCAAATGTACAAAGGTAGATATATGAATATTTGGATTTTAATATTTTTCAATTGATAAGAAAGAGTTGAAATCAATTTTGTTAAAGAATGCATATATGTAAATAGTCTAATGAGATGGAGTTTAATGTTTTTTTTGAGAAATGGAGTCTAATGTTATTCTTTTTTTTTAAGCCGGTAGGCAAACCACCAAAATCAATGGGGTAAAAGTCGAGGAAGATCTACTGTGTATTATTAATCAGGAAGCATGGGGACCACACCAAACCCTCTTAGGAAAAATAATGATTAGCGAAAATAAGGCAAACTCATCAAATCTGCAATTAAAGATTTCCTTATTATGCGACGAACATCTTTAAGATGAAAATACGAAACCAGATAATGTTGATTTTCTGAGTAGTTTTGAGTGAGTAGATGGCGGTCATATTTGCTTCTCTAAAGATATGTCTAATTCCACCCGCTGCCTGAATTAGATCTGTCCGAATATCATTCAAGAGAGCTTTCCATCTTCCCTCATAACTGCAGTCGCTCAAGAGCTTCACCAAGGACGAACAGTCCGTCTCTACCTCAAATCCGGTATAGCCCTTCTCGGATCCAGCTCCTCTGCCTTACTTAGGCAGCCAAGGAGGGTGCTTGGCCATTTTAAACCATCAGATCAAAATATCAATGGCTTAAAAAGAGTGGGTCCATTTTTGGCACAAATCTCTAGGGCTGAGTTTTAATCCCTGCCCTCTGTTTTAGTAAGGTACTCTGCCTTATGGCAGAGGATCTCTATCCGCCCTTCTCCATTTCCCAATTAAGAGCCACCTGGGACGCCTCAATCTCTGCTTCTAGCGCTGATGTAGCTTGAAGAGCAAAACTAATACCAAATACCAGCTTTCCCTCTTTGTCACGCATCATAACTCCATCAGTCGAAGTATGTGGTCTGAAGGAAGCATTGATATTGAGTTTAAGTAAGTCTTTTGGTCTTTCCCACTTTATCATTCTCACTCTAGTTGTAGAATTCTAAAAAGAGTTCGAAATAAGATTATCTTGCATTGGATGAACACAACAAGTATTACCCTTTCGAATCTTCAAAGTTTTGGACCAATCTTAAGTGAACAATTTAATTTGGAAAATGATGGATTCAGATGTGGGATAAGAACCCAATGAACCCCAAATCAATTTATCATAACTTTTCCATCATTCAATTGGTAAGGCCGTCAAATTATTTTTGAAAGATAACTCCGCCGGAATTTACATATAAAACACAACTATCTTTTAAAAATCATTTGACTGTCTTCCCGATTGAATTTTGTGCTCAAACATGGTATGAATGAACTAGACTTGATGAAGAACATATACTAAAAATTCAGGAAAAAATATCACCAGGAACCACCCCAAACGGAGGTGTACAGACCACTCTCTTGTCCGGCCTGGCCGGATAGGAATATTTGTGAGTAGAGCATCTCTAACGGCACAATGTGTACAGTGCACATGTGGCATGAGAGAGAGACACATAAATATTAGTAAGAAAATAAATTTATGTCCTTATCTGAATAGTCTTATATGTTTATGGTAAGCTATTCACCAAAATTATACTACTTATAAAACAGTGGAAAGAAATAGAGAGAAATATCATTGATTTTTTTTTAGGTGTGGACAATTTTTTATCTTAGTGATGATAATCGTCATAGGTAATAACTTTGATAGTGTGAACAATATCATCTGTTAATGTCCTTGCTGATGGTTTTTGCCCTTTTTAGGGGAATGCCTTTCTGAGCAAGTATGGTCAGCGGATGCGCGCCAAGGCTAAGAAGTTCGAACAACAGCTGGCACGCCGGTGCGAGGAGCGGGGGCAAGCTATGTCCACCCTGGACCAGCTGAGGGCCGAAGTGGCGCGGCTTCAGGCCGAGAAGGCGAGTGCCGAGAAGCCCGAAGCTGTTGTACATGTTGAAAAATTATTTTAAATTTTGGATTTTTCATTTTTATGATGGTCCATAATATTACTAAAGCTTTTTAAAAGCTACCCGGACAGGTTACATGTTATTGGACCTCCTCTGAATGCTATTGGGCTAATACCGGATTGTTTAGGTTGCTCGTGATGGTTGTTGGGCCTTATAAAAAAGATTAATATTGAGCCATTCAGATAACATTTAGTGATTAAATTAATTTGGATCACTAAAAATATCTAATTAATTTAATTATAAATTAAATCTTTAAAAGAATGGACCGGTTCTATTAATTTTGAGTCCATTATTAAATATTGGCTCAATATATAAGAGCCTTGATCCAATTGATAAAAAGAGCAATGAATGTGGTTAAGAAATTCATCCGCATGCATGGAAAATGGCTGCGAACCTTGTTAAAAAAGCTGTCCAGATACATCGAACAAGTGCTGATTTTTCTAGGTATTAAAATACAAGCAAATGGAGCCCAAAGCCAATTTCCACTGGGGCATAAGGGGTATGGACGAATTTACTAAACCCTAAAGCATTTTTTCAGCTCCTCCACACCTATAAATAGGGGTCTCAGTTAAGAGAAAGAGGAGAGAACTTTCAAATGAAGAAACGCTGCAAAAAAAAGCTCTAAAGAACTTCCAAAAGGCTCTGAACGATTCCAAAGAAGAGGAAGAGATCAAGCCACGAATTTTCTCAAGAATATATGAATAATCCTTCGTGATTTCATCGATTCTTGATAAAATAAACCCAAAAGTTGAAGAACGTTCGAAGGTCCGAAGAACAAAGCTCGATGATTCGAAGATCTGAAGAACAATGCTTTGAAGATTCGAAGACCTGAAGAACGAATCTTTGACGGTTTGAAGATATTCATATGAAGTTTGAATCAAGATTCAGTTGAAGATCAAGCCATATATCCCGGGAGGCCCTTAAACAGAAGATCAAGCCATAAAACGACCCTTTTGTTGAAGATCAAACCACTTGAAAACCGGAGGCCCATCTAGTTGAATTCTTTATTCAAGAAGATTCGAAGATCTCAAGAACGAAGATTCGAAGAATCGAAGAACGTTCGAATTTTTGAAAGATTAAAGATTTAATTCTAAATTAAATTCTTTAACTGTATTCATATTAAATTGCAAGTGAAAATCAGAGGATTCATATTTAGGATTCATATATTAAATTCTTTAATATATTCTCATATATTATCATTTGCGATCAATTTTAAGTAAATACTTAAAATTTGTTTCACAAATTTTTGGCACCCCCAGTGGGACAACTCTACCTCTCATCTCTTCACTTTTGATCAAGAAAAACGAACCAATGGCATCAAGCAAGCCCGTGTTCACTCTGAATTCTAGAGCGTCATCAAGCTCGAATCAAGACATGCAAGGCCCTATCACTAGGAGCCGATCAAGAATCATGGTTGCGCAATCATCTTCGGGAACTACTCCCGGTGTGATGGATGAATTTCGAATTTCGCAAGAGATGGCCCAGAAGTTTTCTTCATCCATACGTGAAGTTATTTACCCGAAGCGGACAAGAAACTGTGAGAGTTCATCATCTGGATCAGACTCCACTCCCCCGTCAAGTCCTCTACGAAGAACTACTCCACAGTGGTCAAATGTCTATACTATGATGCCCACCATGACAACGACCACCACATCGCTTTGGCCTGTATATTTTTAAAGCATTCGTATCTTTTGTTGGGGGCATGTGCCCCCACTACTTCTATCTTAAATATACTAATAATTAAAATTGTTCAATATTGAATATGACATCAACATATTATTATTATTATTTGTATTTTGTAATATTTGAATAATGGATTAAATATGTCGCGAGTAACACTTACTTTGTATAATTCGTTAGTCTATGATAATTTGTTGTATTGAGAGAAATGCATGGTAATTTACCGATATCGTACCGTTACCGAATCAAAACTTCGGTATAACGAAATGCGGTATACCAAAATTTCGGTAAGGTAACGGTAAATAAATTTTGTATACCGAAAGTCTTGGTACAACAAAAGTATAAAAGAAAATATTCGTTATACCGTACCGAAGCACCCCTAATTATGATATTAACAAATGTAGTAACTATATGATTACTTTTATCAATAAACATATAATTACTTTTATTACGATAAAAATTTTTATTACTCTTACCAACAAGAAAATATAATTTTATTTATTGAGATTAAAATAGAAATCGTTATTCTATAATTAAATTGTATTGGAAAGAATAATTTTGATACCGACTAATTGTAGTTACAGTTTTTGTACAAATATGAAATAATCATCTTATTTATAAAAACAAACAAAATCAAAAGAATACCTTTATTATACTAAACAATAGAGTGCTCTTCCTGTCCGGAATTTCCGGACAGGAGCCCCGTCTGGCCTCCTCCATTTGGGGGCCTTCCCGGTGGTAATTTTTTCTCAAATTTTTTGTGTATGTTCCTCATCAAGTCTAGTTAATCCATACCAAATTTGAGCAAAAAATTCAATCTAGAAGGTCGTCAAATGATTTTTGCAAGTTAACTGGTCCGGAATATGATTATTCCGGACCAGTTAATTTGAAAAAATCATTTATGATCTTCCCGATTGAATTGTTTGCTCAAATTTGGTATGGATGAACTAGACTTGATTAGGAACATACACAAAAAATTTGAACAAAAAATACAATCGGGAAGGCCCCCAAATGGAGGAGGCCGGACGGGGCTATCCGGACAGGAATAATCCTCCTAAACAATATATACTACGTATTACTGTTTTGTTATTTTATTATAAATAAGGAAATGCCTGCTATATATATTAACCAATATTGATATGATCAGTTCATTTATCCAAAAATCTAAATGAAAATAATAAATTTGATACTAATCGATTGCAGGCAGTTTGCAGCTATGATGTTATTGTTCTTATTAAGATTATTTTTTTTATTGAATAATCAATTTGGAAATGAAACTTTTGTTTGGGAATCAAAATAAAAAGGACTCATAAGAATTAGTATTTATTCTCGGCCTATTCAAATTCAAAAAAAATTATGGTTCTCTATCATGATTATACACTAATTATTACTCCGTATATTATTGATGAAATTATGCAAGTTATATGCAATTGATCAGTTACAAGTCATCCAAAAAAATATAAGTTACAAGTCATAGTAACTGATGATCAGATTCTTTCCGATGTATCAACAAAAGGTAAGTGATGATCAGATTAATTAATTAAATCTTTAAAATAGGTAACAAATGATAATCACTTGAATCCTGACACTTACTCAGCTCATTTCCGATATTAGTAATTTCCCCATTTTAATAACAAATGTATTGCTGAAAACCAATAGAAAACAATAATCATTTTTATAAGGAACTATCATCAATATATAACATTTTGTGCATTCAAATCGAACAATTCAAAGAAAAACATGACCACATTCATTTAAATCTCTGAGTATATATATAGGGGAGACCACTCCATTGTTTATCACCAGTCACATTTACTTGTCAAAAACAATATGAAGATCTATCCTTCTTGGGTCTTAAACATAACATTCGGATATCAACTCCATATGTTGATACTCTCACTTCTCTTCCTAACTATTTCGTCAGAATCCAATAACCAAAACCATCACCCAAATCATATGTACAGTAGTTTCCGCCATATCATTCCCCACCCCTATTGGCTAATCAAGGAGGGGGTGAGCCGAGATGATGTGAAGAGGGAAGCTCCATCCGGTCCGAACCAAATGCAATCACCACTCCCACCATTGCCTCCAACCAATATGAAAAGAATGGTGCCCAAAGGTCCAGATGAGACTGAACCTCCCCTATCACCATTCATTTCAATAGAGGAGAAAAGATCAGTGCCTAACGGCCCAAACCCGATGGAACCACCAGCCAGTTTACAGATACCATATTGGGTTATGAAGGAGGATATAAAGAGGAGTGTTCCAAAAGGTCCAGATGAGACTGAACCTCCCCTATCACCATTCATTTCAATAGACGAGAAAAGATCAGTGCCTAACGGCCCAAACCCGATGGAACCACCAGCCAGTTTACAGATACCATATTGGGTTATGAAGGAGGATATAAAGAGGAGTGTTCCAAAAGGTCCAAATGAGACTGAACCTCCCCTATCACCATTCATTTCAATAGACGAGAAAAGATCAGTGCCTAACGGCCCAAACCCTATGGAACCACCAGCCAGTTTAAGGATACCATATTGGGTTATGAAGGAGAATGTAAAGGGGAAAGTTCCATCCGATCCAAACCCGACTGGACCGCCAGTATCATCATTGACTTCGACAGATGTGTCTAATAGTCACCAACTTTATTGGATTGTGAAAGAAGGGGAGAAAAGAATGGTACCATCAGGACCAAATCCAATGGAATCCCCTGATCCATCAGTTACAGTATAAGATACATCTACAACTACAATCTCTCAATTGATCCAGATATTGCCTCTTTATATGCTCTAGTTGAACTGTTTCTATCACACTACACTAACCAGTGGTGAAATAATGATGTAATACAAAGTCTAAATTTCTATTCAATGAAATGACCATTTCTTTTAAAACTACCAATTTAGTAGTGTAAATGACAATAAAAGACTGATACAACCAAATTCATGTGCCTCTTATTAACTTCAACAAACTAAATAAAACCAAACAACCTTAGATTCCCAACATCTCCCCTCCGGGAGGGGTCAGAATACATCGACCATAATAACCTTATCAACTTCAATGTCTTTAGTACTTTAAAATAAAAGTTCACAAGTTTATACACCCTTTGATTCCCACAGTATAAGAAATTCCGTATCTTTTAGCAACATTTATAGTAGTTTAATATCAACAAACTTGGTCTCATCTTCTAAAGCTTCTATTTGCAAGTTCTCATTTCTTTTAACATAATATTTTGGAAAATCTCTACTTTCAAAAATTCATAATAAAAAGGTATGGACAATAAAACATTCAGATCAGGTTCAGATCAGATCATATCAGAACTTAAAAAATTCATATCAGAAACATTCATATCAGGTGAAGAGAACAACTTATAAGTGTCTGCCTTGTTGTTTCATGTCATTTTATTTTTAAAATACTTACGGTGGGGTAAGGGGGGTCGGATGTATGTAGTTTTACCCTATACTAAATCACAAAGAGTCTGTTTTCGGATGACTCATAGTAAAAGTCACGCCGAAAATTGCATGGACTGACTGATGCTTCATAACAAAGTAGCGCAGACAGTTTAGAAAATCATTTTGCTTTATTCCATCATATTCCCAAGCCAAAAAACAGTGATTCTTTGGCTCCATTCAATCAAAAGATATATTAAAATTAATTTAACTTGTCAAGTTGTCATTAGTTCTACTTATAATACTCACAAATTTATAAAAAGTTGACATGCAAAGTTTGGAGTGAAGTAATGCAAGCGATAGCTAAAGAGAGTTTTTGAAAAATAGCATAAATTACATGGATTACTTTTTTTGTTTACAAAGTCTAAAACACATTTTTTAAATTTACAAGGTTTAAAACATATTGAAGCCTAGATTTAATAGGTTGTCCAAAGAGTGAAAGGGTCCATTACAAATTATGTTACAAAGGGTGAAAGCTCAATAACAAATGACAATTTCTTGTTGTAGTATTGACTTTTGTGTTTGGTTTGCGCATTTTGTTTAGTTTGAGTCTATAACGTACAAAGTATCCCTATCCAAAAAACCCTGCCCAAACTATTGCGCTTGTATTATGGAAAATTCCTTTTGTACACGCCAAGTTTTACACGCCGGTCAAATTGTCTGTGTGCAGACAATTTGACCGGCTACACAGACAATTTGACCGGCGTTTTATGAAAAAACTGATTTTCACACATACAAAAATAAAAAAAATTGTCTATATGACAGGCACTTTATGAAAAACTCTGGTCTAAAATGTATGTGATATAGACAACTCTTTACTTTTTGTCTGTGTGAAAATCGATTTTCTTTATAAAACGCCGGCGTGTAACCCGGCGTGTACATGAAGCGGGACTCTTGTATTATTTTGTAACTGTAACCTCTTTTGAAAGTGGAGTAATGTCATATTTTATGAGATAAGCATCCCCTAATGATTTAAAATGTTATTGGCAATATTGTTACTGCAATATCAATTTTAGAACTTTCATGATTTCTGGTGGAATAAGCCAAGGAATTTCAGCTTATAGCAAAACATTGAGAAATTTGGTACTGCAAGCATTGGATAACCTTTCTACAGTTGACACAATATTGTGAGCCTAACATAGTAAACAAACTTGCTCACAAACTTGGCTTAGAATATACTCCGTAAGAAATATACCATGTCATTCACCAACAACAAATACAGTAGTTTACAAAGCAAAAAAACAGAACCCTTTTAAATACTACCTCCGTCCCATTAGAAGGCTCCCGTCCACTATTCATATGATCAACTTAAATCATTTTTAATCTTTTGCTTTATATATCAAACTTTTATCAAATTTACATTTTTTTATCAGGCTGTGTAGCAGTTTTAATGTAGTTTCTGAATATGTAACGGGAACCTATAACAGGAATCTTTTAGCGGGACGGAGGGAGTAGCAAAAAAGATCTCAGTATTGATCAAATGCAGATTCAACAAATAATGTCACTTTGTTGTTGAATCAAATTTAGTTATAAATTACAATGTTTTAAAGATATGACCATAATATATAAAGTCAATTCTGTTGATTCCATACAGACAAACTGTTAGATATGATCTTATTAAGTACAGGATATTGAGTCCCTTTTTCGCCGTTGGAAAGCTAAACTCATGTTTTAAAACTTTTATAGACTAAATTTCTAAGTTTTATAAGAGCCGTCTTCATTTGACCAATAAATATATTACTAAAAAAGTTTGAGGCAAAAAATACAACATACAATGTAAAACTCACACACAATGATATAAGTGAAGGCTAGAGATGTAGCTACCACATTCAACATTTATCCGATAATTGACCAACACTTTCAAGCATGTGCCTCTTAATGACAAAGGTGAAACCACTGCCACAGTAAACTTCAACAACAAATGGCTTTTTTACATGCTTATACATATTATTATTATTTGTACTCACCACTTGAGGACTAGCTTGATCATTTGTATCTCCCAAGCCAAGTTGACCATGTTCCCCCCATCCCCACGTCATCACTGATCCATCATCTGTGTATATATTAAATGACACACATTATAACACAAAATGTAGAAAAGACAAAAAACAGAGCACATTATACAAGCAGTGTGTCAGATCATTATAAAAATGCAGAGGAGTGGCTTCTCATTTTCAACATGAAGAAACTTGCCTGTTACCAAGGCCGAGTGCTCAGCTCCTGCTGAAATTTGGAAAACCTTTACCCCAACAAGAGCATCAACCTTCTGTGCAATTTCTTCATTTCCTGCAAATGTATGTATTTAAAAGCCGATTTATACTAGAACCATTAATGCATAATAAAGATTTATTTTAAGGCTATGTTTGGAACTTGGAATGTGGTAGGGAAAGAAGGAAAGAACTAAAGAAAATGGTTTTCTGATATTTAGTTTTACCTTAGAAAACCAAATTTGATTTTTTTTAAGATTGACATATGCTTCGATTTTGTAGCCTTATACTCTTATATAACTGAAATACTTAAATTGAAATGAGTTTGAAAAAATATACGTAGTATAATTGAAGCAGTTTATTATTCTCCACGATATTTTATTTCCTTCTAAATTTCCTCTACTTTTCCCTCCCTGTTTACTTTCTCTAGCATTTTCCAAATTCGCAGAAGGACCACAAATTCCATAAGATTTTATTTACAATTACTTTAGCCCTATATTGCTAGGACTTTGTATGCCACATAGCAAGAAACCTGACAAAAAGATTAGGTTCCTTTTTTATTGATTACACTTCTTCTAATGGATTGATTTACAATAAAAATGGGGGCTTCACCTGCATCTTTAAGTGTTTTCGCTATCAACTGTGTTTTTTGGCTACTCGAAGCACCATAGTTATAACCGCCAATCATGAACACTTGTCCATCACCTGCAAATCATTTTAAAAAATATCTAGATAAGTAAATGCATAAAGACTGTTAGCAGCATGTAATAGTAGTGCAACTTATCTTTTGTGCTCACATCAACATGTTAGAAGGTTATTAATCATTTCAAGGTAACTGTAGTACCTGTTAATAATAGAGCATGATTCCACCCTATAGAAGCGCTACTGAATGATGGGCTTGCTGCAATACGTTTGGGCATATAATTATCTGGGTCCCCACCGAAGCCTCTTCCCCATCTATAGAAATGTCCATCAGCTAACAAGAAAGAAATAATTGAAAATCAAGATATGAAAAGACACAAATGGACAGTGCGAGATTCAGAAAAAGTTGCATAAAAATTAGAGCATTACATTAGCTAATGACTGAAATTTAAAGTTTGCTTCATAACCTACATAAAAATTTGTTTTTTATTCAACAAAATATTCAACTTCAAACACTTACTACATATAGCTCCACTATGGTCTCCATTTGCAATAATGCTGTTAATTCTGAGATTTTCCAAGCCCAAAGTAACATGAGGAACGCTTACTGATTTTACTTTGTCATCAGATATACCCAGCTGACCACGTTTTCCAGACCCAAATCCATAAACACGACTTCCCATATTACCTGCATTAACCCCTTTTTCAGTTCATGAGTCAAGTGTTTTACAATAGAAATGAGCCACTTTTAAATACAAATAAAAAGATATGGTCTGCTAATGGATAGTGTAAAAACCAAAAACCAAACATACCCAGTATGTGCCACTTAAAAGTACGGACAGCGGATGGTGAGATCTACAGACTTTATCTCCATCCAAGGAGTACAGAGGTTGTTTCCATGAGTACCCCAATATAGTGAAATTTAAGAAATTTGAGAAGATGTTGATAATTTTATGACTTTTTTAAAAAATCTGAATATTTTTTTTAAAAAATAGCAGAACAATAATAAAATATCACAAGGGAAATGGTAGTGTGAAAATATAATCAGAAAAAATGTGAATTCACAAAAGTTAATTATTCAGCTGACAAAATTTTACCTTCAACCAAAGCAATCGAATGGCGCATACCACAAGCAATGTGCTTGACATGTCTAGAGCTGAAAAATGGCACTTCTACAGGAGAAGAGTGGGATATATAATCACCAAGACCAAGCTGCCCAAACGTACCATCTCCACACATGAAGAGTTGACCGCTCTCTAGAATTAAATAAAAAACCCAACCAACACGGAAAATATGAATTCCCTCATACAATGAAATGCAGAGGAAACGGCAAAGATAAACCTGAGGAGGTTTGCTTTCACAAAAACTAAAAAGTACAGTAACTCCATATGTGCGTGTGTACTTAAAGAACACCTCAGTGACTTAAACAAAAAGAAAACTCCAATGAATAATTTTTTATAAGAGAAGAGGAGAACAAATAAACCTGAAACAAAACCGGAGTGATTCCAACCAGCAGAAATATATGTAATATCAAAGGCTACCAAATCTTCCACAACCATAGGCTGCACACTGGAAACAGCTTCCCTATGGCCTAATTGCCCTGATGTACCCCTACCCCATGTCACCACTCTTCCACCTGCAAATGCTTAACTGTTAATGGCTGCGTGGTATCCTCATTTACCAGCTTACCAGTCATATATGTCAATATGTGATATGTCTACTAAGAACAATTTTTGTTTTACTTCACGATAAAAGTGAGAAAATTAAGGTTTGAAGTGGTCAATAATAAAACATAACAAGGTTGGAGGTATTTTTTGGCTAAAATGACTTAAGCTGATTAAGATGATTACTTCATCCTTTTACCCATATGCGGAGTATTTGTTTTCTTTATCTTTTTAATATAGAGGGAGTAATATATACTCTATTTAGGATATCTTTTTAAGTAATTCAACAATTCGGTCAATAACTCAAAGACTCAATATTTTTCCATCATTTGCAATGGAGCCAAAGACTCAATATATTTTTGGCTTGGAATATGATGGAATAAAGCAAAATGCTTACTAAACTGTATGCCCTTATTTGTTATGAAGCAGCAGTCAGTGCATGTAATTTTCACTATGGGTCATCAGGAAACAGTCTCTCTATGCTTTAGTACAGGGGTAAGACTGCGTACATCCGATCCCATACCCCACCGAAGGTGTGGGAGCCTTTGCGGCACTGGGATAATGATGATGATGAGCAATACGGTCCATCAAGTTGGATTCAGCCACACTATAGCCATTTTAAACCTTATAACGGGATCGCAAACTTCAACTTTATTCTGTTCACTATTCAAAATTTGAGTTAGGTTTCAGTTCTTGAAATTGAGACAATTGCCACTCTATCCAGCTCAGTAGTTTAATAGTTTTTATTTAAGAATTGTATTTTGGGTAACAAGAGCACATATAAAGGTGGGAAAACAGATAAGTAATTGAGTACAACCTGAACAGTTCCATGAAAGAAGATAGAAGGAAAGAGACCTGAGATGAGAGCGATGACATGAGCGCCGCCGCAAGCGAGATGAGAGAGTGGGCCCAATGAGGAGAGAGAACGGAGCAACTGAGGGTGGTGCTCGTCTAAGAGCCTCCCCGTTCCCAACTGACCCTCTGTGCCTGCCCCCCAACTCCATATCTCTTCTTCCAACTCCTCCTCATTTTCCGCTTTCTCTTTGAATCTTTCGTTTGCTTCCATTTGTTACTTCCGACCGACGGAGTGATCAGAAATCCTACCACACGTTGGCAAAACTTGCTAAATTTTGAAAAATGTGAAATGAAAAACAGGAAGGAAACCATTCATCTAAGCAGAATCACCTAAGCAGAATAGCTGTTGTTTTCAGGAGCTGTTCCCTACTTGCTGCCTGTTTGTTTGGACGAAGGGTTGAGAGTGCTAGTAAGTGGTAGTAAGTGTTGACATGAGTGGGAAGGGAAGGTAAATGTAAGTCTTAAAGGGGTGTATTGAATATGGATTGTGGTGGACTTTTTTTAATCCATGGACTTCTAAAAAAGTCTATAGACTTTTAAATCCATAGACTTTAATTTGATGACTTTTAAATCCGTGACTTCTAGAATGAATGACTTTTATGGATTTCAATAAATCCATAAACTTTTACTTATTTCAGACCAGATCCAACTAGACCAGACTTTAACAAAACAAACTAGACTTTAATAAATAAAAATCGCTACATAGAAAATATGACAAATATAATAGCTAATGTTCTCTATTCGAAATGAGGTCAAGCATAAGCATTAAAAAATATAAGAACAAATAATGTCCTTAATGCACAAAATGGGAACAAACGTCTTGTGCTGCTGAACTATGGATCAAAATTATTCATTTTCTGTAGCTGCCCACATTTGAGTAGCAAGATTCATCCTCTATTCATTGGCCTTTTCCCTCTGTTGATCTTGTGTCTGAAAATTATCTCATTCAAGATCGTCCTCATCATCGTTAGGTGGGTCTTCTTCTGGGTCCGGAGGAAATTCGTCAGATCGACATTCACGTCGAAGAAAATTATGTACTCCTGCACATGCCAAAACTAAAAAGAAAGGAGGTGCCGTTTTGAAGATTGTGAAGCGTGACTTGAATATTCCAAATATCCGTTTAATCACATTCCTTTTTTTGGCATTACGTTGTGAATCACCCATGTATCTACAAGACATGTAAAACCAATCACACAAACAATAAAAACAAAATCATACTGCTTGATCTTTTTAAAATCATAAACTATATTAAATTTTTGAACACATTGTATTATTTCACAACCTCCTTTGTTGCATTTTTACTCGAACAAGTAGTGCTGATTTTGTTTATCAAACAAAAATCCATATTTCAGCAAAGAAATTCATGAATGTCTTTGAACTACACACTCTCTTTCCCAAAACAGAATGTGAAAAAAGCTACTGCAGTTTTTGCACCATACAAAATAAGAAGCGTGGAAGTTGAGAATGTGGAAAAAGCTACTGGCATATCATTAAACAATATTATCCTTAACTCCTTATCTTATACAGTCATGGGCAATGATTATCAAAATAAAACTGGTGTCAAGTTGAAATTTCACGTGCCGGCAACACCGCCGGTGGAATCCGATCTTATACACGATCAACAATTTCTAATAAGCAACATAACATACTTGGGAAGAGTCGTTCTTGGCTAGTTGGGCGTGAAGAGGGAAGAGACGATTGCCAGAAAACCCTACGGGAAAGTCAGCGTGAAATCTTTTGGGAGAGCAAGAGACAATTGATTGGAAAGAGTATTTATATGAGTTCTTCTAAAATCCATGAGAATCTACTATTTTTAAAATCCATAGAATTTGTTAAGTTTTTGAATACATCCGTATTTTTATGGACTTTTAAAAGTCCTGATTGAATACACATAAACTTTGACGAACTTTTAAAAGTCTATATTCAATACACCCGGATTTTTAAAGTCCATGGACTTCTAAAATTTTGCCACCAAATCCAGATACAATACACACCCCTTAGACATAAATTTACCTTGTTTGAAACAGTTAGAAAAATGAAGTGTTAAAGTGTTTTTATATAAATTGACAAAAACGTCCTTAAACTTTTTAAATTAATTATTTATATGCTAGCGGCATCATTAGTCTTCTTCATTGGGGAAAATTGAAAAGCTTCATAGTCCACTTTCGAGGGTCATTCCCTCCCCCTGCTTTGGTTTTCTAGCTTCGTAAGTAGTTTCTTCAATTCAATGGAATAATTTATATTCCAACTTCACATTTACCCAATTTAATAGGATTTTTATTACCGAAATTAAAGAAATAAGTTGAATATTCCTCATATGCTAATCAATGTGTATTAGACCTTTCAAATTTTCCAAATAATAAATAACTACTCCGTATATAATTGGGAACATAAAATATTAAATTCAAAATGTAGTGGAATATATAATATTGAATAGAAAATAGGTGGATGGAATGTCAAATACGAGTAATATAGGAATCTCTACAAATGAGAAATGAGTAATGGAGTGGGACGTTCCATATTGAAGTTCCTACTTCAAACTTTTCCTTATTTGACAAATGATTTACACCAAAACAGTGTCAAACAGTGTTCAAACAGTGCACTCCACAGTAAAGTCAAATTTATTTCTTAATATGTGTGAAGTCAAACTAGGAACTTAATTAAGAACCGGAGGGAGTATTTTGATAATAGGTCATGTTCCGCACGCCACCAATATTACTAGGCGCACCCATTTTTTGTCTGAACAACGATATCCTTGATCAGCAATCACGTCCCTGCATATGGTGCTAGGCGCACCACCCACTTTTCTGTCACTATCATTACGGTGTAGGACATTTGAAGTGTATTTTTTTTAAAGCATTCCTCTTCTTAAAAAAATTATAATATTTCCTAAAGTTCTTTTTTTTTTTAAAAAAAATATTTCCTAAAATTTTGCGTAAATCACAGTTTCTAAAAAGTAACGTAATTATCTGTGCAACATACTCAAATTCCTACATGATTACACTTTTTACCCACCATCAAACAACTACACCCTTCGTCCCTTAAAATTTGCCAACTTTCCTTTTTTGGATGTCCCACTAACTTTGCCACTTTCCCTTCAGTAAAGAATTTGTGATTTCAATTAATTCGCTCTCCACTAACTACGGTATGACAATATCTAGGATGTTTTTTAATTGAGATGTTTTCGATCCGAGATTAGACCAAATTTATCTTCATTTATAGTTCTATATTGAATTATATATTTGAATATGTAACATTTTTAATTCTAGTAAACTAATTATCTCCATTTTTTATTTGTTTGACTAATTTCAAAGGCGGAGGACCCCACCTCTTAAAACTCCATCAGCACCATGCTGATTCCGCATTACGGCCATATAAGTTACATGACTAGATTTAGGTTGTGAATGATATTTAGAATGATTTTAATTGAACTGATTTCGATCTAGACAAATTCAAACAAATTAGATCAGGTTTAACTTCTTTTACCAATAACAGATTACGCTCAAACTGCCAAGGACCTCCTTCAATCACACAATCTTAAAAATGGTTCTTACCAGAACATCCAATACAAATCACCAACAGCGGATGTTTTCCTTTAGGAAAATTCTGAGTGTACATAGTTGCACACAATTGTACACAAAACCCCTATGTTGTCTATATACATATGTAATTCGTTTAAAATGCGACATGACTAATTAAGTCCCAACTATATCAGACCAGACTTAAACAGATCGGATTAGATCAAACCAGATTTAATAGATCAGGCCAGACCAGACCAGAATTGGAGAGTTTTAAAATATACAGAAATCAGACATTTATCAGACCAGACCAGCCAAATTCAGTCCAAAAGAAAACTTTTTAAATCAAATTTAACTTTTGATTGGAGGCCTTTCATAGTTATTTGGGTTTGCAGCCACCACCCCCACAGCCGCCCTCGTGAGTTGTATAGATTTCCGCATTTTAAAAAGGGAAATCATCCTTAATCTTTACTAAAGTGTGTGGGTGTACTCTTTAAAAATGCTTCTACTCCTTCAACGAGAAAAATAAATATCGAGGTGTTTGAGTGGAAGTGCAGAAGTTGCTTCTAAGTGGTTAAATTGTTTCTAGAAGACAAATAGGAGATGACCAACTTTGAAAAAAGTGATTGTGATTGTATTTCTACATTTAATAAAGAAGTAGAATCAATTTCAAACACCCGTTAAATGTACTCATACTTTCTACGTACACCATACACTCAGTGTTCTAAAACGTGGGGTCTAGGCACGCTTAGGTGTGAGGCGGCGGGAAAAGGGCTATCTCACATAGTAGAAAGGCGTCGAAAAAGTTATCATCTAAAGAAATGACCATCAAAGGTGTGAAAAGGCGTGTAAGTCTAGGCGCAAAAAAGAGGAACCTAGGTATGAAAGGCGGATGTTAGATAAACTATTTTTTGCGAAGAAAAAGTTCATTAAACTTTAGAATCACTCTTATAAACATATTATATGTGAAATCTAATAAGGGGTAATAAATAGCAATGTTAGATATGAAACTATGGGACAATTACATGGGGTGTCCATTGCCCGGGGGCACCGATGATTTCTCATTTGTTTTTTGCAGATGACAACCTATTATTTTTTAGAGCCACACATGATGAAGCATCTTTGATTAAGGAGACACTTTATGACTACGAGAGGGCCTCGGTCCAGGTAATTAATTTTAATAAATCAAAGATATTTTTTAGTGCTAATGTGGTGGATAGCTATGGAGAAGGGCTCGTTGAGTTGCTTGGAGTGGGGCTAACAGGAGATGATGAAAAATATTTGGGTTTGCCGGCTTTAGTTGGAAGGAGTAAAAAAGAAATTTTGGGCTACATTCGACAGTGGGTGATTAATCGTATTAATAATTGGAATAATAATTTTTTTATCCAAGGCAGGTAGAGAAGTTCTTTTGAAGGCTGTTATTCAGGCTATGCCGACCTATGCCATGAATGTCTTTTTGTTACCGATAGAATTGTGTCGGGAGATTGAAATTATTATGAACGGTTACTGGTGGAAGGGAAATCCGGGAAAGGAATTCGGTGGAAAGATTGAAACTTCCTTTGCAAGCCAAATTCTGCTTGGGGCATGGGGTTTAGACGACTCCGAGAGTTTAACTTAGCCATGCTCTCCAAGCAAGCTTGGAGGATTTTTTCTAATCCCGATTCTCTCGTGGGAAGGGTTTATAAGGCTAGATACTATGCAAAAAGCACTTTTTTAAAAGCTAGACCCGGAAATAACCCCTCTTTTATTTGGCGAAGTTTAATTGAGACTCAAGATCTTATTAGGGAAGGCTATTATTGGAGAGTCGACAATGGTCATTCTATTAATATTTGGGAAGAACCGTGGCTCCCAGATAAGGAAAATCCGAGAGTTATATCGGAGGTAGGTGAAGGCTTAGAGCAGGCGTTGGTGGCCAATCTCTTTCATACAAATAAAAAGGAGTGGGATCATGACATAATCAATGACATATTTGGTGAGAGAGATGCTTTGTTAATTAAAGGAGTGCCTCTTAGAAGTAGATATATCCCTGATTCGCTATGCTGGAGGTGGGAGGAAAGTGGCCAATTTTCGGTCAAGAGTTGTTACAGGCGGTTGGTGGGCGAGTTGGGCAATTCGGAGGGGCTGGATTGGACGACTATGTGGTCGTGGAAACTCCCTCTTAAGATTAAAATGTTTTTTGGCAGGTTTATAGCGGGTCTCTTCCGACTAGAGAGAACTTGTAGGTATGCCGGGTGGACTGTCCGGGGTCATGTGGATTATGTGGAGAAGCTCGAGAAACTACAGAGCATATTTTCCGTTGTTGTCCAGTAGCTTGTGAGGCCTGGGCAGTCTTGTCGTGGCAATGGTCTGATGGATATAATCTTTCCTTCCTTGAGCAAATGAATTTGGAGTTTTGGACTAGGAGGAAGGCAACCTTGGAGAAGATGATATGGTGTTGTTGGGCTATCTGGACTGAGCGGAATCATCGCGTTTGGCAGGGAACGATGTCTACAGCACAACAATTCATCCATCAAGTAGAGGCTTTGGTTGACGGGTGGGCCAGATCACAGGCAGGATAGAGGAATAAGGTGCAGTGAGAGTCTTCTTCAGCTACTTCGTGGTGCAGGCCGGCTGCTGGCAAACTGAAACTTAACATCGATGCAGCGATCAGACCAAACTCTTGTGGACTTGGCTGGTGCGTCAGAGATGAAAACGGCAGCTTCATTGCGGGGGCAGCTCGTCCGTGGGTGGGCAGATTATCACCATTGAATGCTGAACTTGTTGGGATTAGAGAGGCTCTTAGTTGGGTAAAGCAAAATGGATGGACGGAGTTGGAGGTCGAGACAGATGCGGCTCGGGCTATTTCAGAGATTTTACATGGATCCAGTTGCTCTTCGATTGGTTTATTGAGTGAAGACATAAGAGATTTGTCGAATTATTTTTCAAGCATTTCTTTTTGTCATGTTATGCGATCAGCGAATAAGTCGGCCCACGCTCTAGCTAAAGTCGCTTGTTCTATGTCTGATTTGCGTTCTTGGTGTTATATTCCTCCTTCTTTTATTGTATCTGTGTTAGACAATGACTTGATTAATAGTAATTAAATTTTTTCCTTGCAAAAAAAAAGAAATGTTAGTCCCTGTTCTAATGATTACATCAGATATGGAAGCACAGAAGGATTCAACACTGAAAGAAATTTCATTGATAATGATCGATAAATGAAAAGCATAGAGAAAATTTCTGTTTAGCGTGAAAAAGGAAAATATCACGAAGT